TAAGATTGTTTTTACCTCTAGACTGAGTACGTACAAGCCTGACTACATCTATTATAGATTTGGTCATATCCTCTAGTCTGAAATATATCTCGTTTCTCTAAACAAGGTTAAGTGCTATTTTTCTTCCCCTAATCCTGCTTAGCAAGACAACGTGGTAGTCTGGGCAGTTTAAATATTCCAGTTAAGTGGGAGAAAGGTCACTGCAAGATTACTGCAAAGGTATCAGATGATGCTAAAGGGCAAATGCATTTTCCTGAAGGATTTCCTAAAGGATTTCCAAAGGATTTTAGGGAAGGCAAGGCAATACTAACATTAAAATAAAAAATCTTCAAGTACCATCGCAGTGATGAAACTTGTGTTTATTTTTGGGAGTAGGTTTTACAGTTTTGTCCAGCACTGATGTACTCTTTTGGCCCCGCACCAAACTCACCAAAAGCTGGGGGGGACCTTCCACTGCCTTTAGCCCCAAGTGCCGCTCTGCAGTGCCAGTGATGAATTCTGCCTCATGGTGGCCAGCTCTGCTCATCGCATTGCCTAAGAAAAAAATCCCCTGATTTCAGTGGAAACGTATCCTACAGGGCTGAATCCAGAGGTTAAGGAAGTCAACTGGATATTTTCTGTCAGCTCTACACAGTTCTATGCCTGGCTTTTAACTTTTGGGCCTTTACATTCAAGATATGTGTGTGACTGACGGACTTCTTCAGTGAGATTTACAACAGCCCCTGCAGTCAGCAAGGTGCTTCCGGCGGTTAGTGTGTCCACAAGACAGACTTACCCACCAAGCAAATACTGAAGAGAAATGCCCTATTGACTAAGCATTCAAAATGCTCACCTGTAGGTAATTTCTTTTTTCCCCAAGAGCCCCAGGGGACTTTCTCCAAGGACCTGGTGGGAAGAGGTGGCAGCAATAATCCAAAAAGTGATGAGAGCACTTTCTGAGGATGTAGCAAACTCAAGTACCATCCCTGATGGTGCAGGGATCACATGCACCATCTCATGCACCAGTATATGCTGGGGACCACCCAGCTGGAAAGCAGCTTGGCAGAAGTGGACCTTGGGGTCCTGGTGGACACCAAGTTGAGCATGAGCCAGCAATGTGGCCTTGCGGCAAAGAAGGCTAATGATATTCTGGGATGCACTGGGAGAAGTTCTGCCAGCAGGTCGAGGGAGGTGATCCTTTCCCTCTGCTCAGCACTGGTCACGCCACACCTGGAGTACTGTGTCCAGTTCTGGGCTCCACAGTACAAGAGAGACATGGATGTATGGAATAGAGTCCAGTGAAGGGCCACAAAGATGATTAAGGGACTGGAGACCTTTCCTGTGAGGAAAGGCTGAGAGAGCTGGGACTGTTCAGCCTGGAGAAGAGAAGGCTCAAGCGGATCTCATCAATGTCTATAAATACCTGAAGGGAGGGTGCAAAGAGGACGAAGCCAGGCTCTTTTCAGTGGTGCCCAGTGACAGGACCGGAGGCCATGGGCACCAACTGAAACACAGGAGATTCCCTCTGAACATCAGGAAACACTTTTTTACTGTGAGGGTGACTGAGCACTGGCAAGGGTTACCCAGAGAGGATGTGGAGTCCTCTCCACATCTATCCTTAGAGATACAGAGATATTCAAAAGCCACGAGGACATGGTCCTGGGTAACCGGCTCTAGGTGGCCCTGCTTGAGCAGGGGGTTGGACTAGATGACCTCCAGAGTTCCCTTCCAGTCTCAACCCTTCTGTGATGCTGCAATTCTGTGATATATGTGGGAAGGGGGCTGCAACCCCACTCCAAGTGGCAGGCTATTTTATGTGCAGGAACTGTCTCCTCCATTTTCTACATTGTGTTAAAAAAGAAAAATAAAAATTCTTCGGACTGTCAAAGAAAAAGCAGATTGGACAATGCAAGATCTGCCCTAAGAAACATATCTAATGATTGCAAAATACAAAAGTATAACTGCATTTTCTAATACACCTGATCCTGCAGGGTTTAGATGTATTACAAGCTTCTCATGGGATTACAGAACAATTAAAGGAACAATTACTTTAGAGATGCTAGCTGGGCATACCCATGACTTGGGTGACAGAGAAAAACCCTCAACTGTAAAAACTGGGGTAGTTCTGAGAAAACAGGTGAAAACCCCAGGTCCCTAGAAAATATGGCAAAAGAAGAGAGGTAAGGAAACATTATTTTAGCACTCCAGTTTTATGCCACAGTTGAATGGGAGATTTGAGGACTGTAATTTGTGTTTAGGTTCTTAATTTGGTTGCCTAGATCACTCATGGGATCTGACCTAGAGCATGAAAATTTTTGTGCATGAGCAGAGAAATAAGAAAACTGTGCACTATCAAACTGACCTTCTTCATAAACTTTGAAATATTCTGCCTGGAAACGATTCCATAGCGTAGCTTTCAAAAGTTATCGTGTAATGATCTGATTTTGTAGCCTTTGCATTTTGCACAGAAGTGAGTATTATTTCCTCTTTTAAATATATTGTGATTTATGGAACTTGCAGATTCGCAATATTATTTTTTTCCCCCATCTTTAATCATTCACATGATTAAACTGACAAAACAATTAAAAGAAAGGAAATGCGAACAGCATGAGATACTATTCATCCACCATATCTGAACAGCATTTGTTTTGGTTCAGTAGCATCCTTGTGTGTGCCTCATATTGTTGTGTCCTTATGATTTCAGTGAAACTCTTCACAGACCCCTTTACATTTAATGTTTACCTTCACCTTATATAGTATTCCAATTACATGCAGTAGATGAAATGCCCTTCTAAAATTTCAGTATTTGAAATGGATCAACCTGGCTTTTGAATCGATTTTCAAAACCTATTTATCATCAAGGGGAACTTTTTTTAACCTAAGGAGTTTTATGCATACATTTATGGTAATGAGTACAAGCTATTATGCCTGCCATAATAGAAAGCAATTCAGCTGGTATTATTTTCATAAATATTTAAAAGCTGGCACACCTACAGTGTAGGCTAGGGGTATTCTAGTAGAGTCATTAAAAAAAAGGGAAAAGCTATGTGATCTCCAACTAGATAAACTTGGTTAAAATAGCAGTGAAGATGAGACACTTGGGCTTTATTTTTAATTAGCAGGTTAAACTCAGGTTTAGAGATAATTAGAATAAAAACCTAAGACGTCTTTTCTTCACTGCATTTTTAATATAATTTGACTAGATCAGCTTAGTCAATTCTAGTTTGGAACAAGTTTTTCTCCTACAGTGTAAACACAGTTTATGTGAGAATACATACATATCATATCTCCCAGGAGACTGCAACCAAGATGCAGTCTTGGACGTGGCTTTGATCAACCTGATCTAGTGAAAGATGTTCCTGCCCTGGCAGGGGCGTAGATAATCTTTGAAGGTCCCTTCAATCCAAACTATTCTATGATTTAGTGATTCTATGCTCCAGCTGATGATTCTAATCAGCAAAGACAGTATCAAACTCAGTACCCTGTAACCAAGGGTGAGAACAACAACTGGCATACCTGGGATACTGAACCGTGGCAGAATTGTGCAGAGGGAAATGTAAAATATATATAGAAACACTGAGTCAAGTAGATTGCTCCAAAAGGACTTCCTTTTCTATTTGTCCAAAAGTAGTGTTCAGTATTAGACCTTGCTCTTCCTTTTTTATTATATTTGTAAACTTCATCTGGCTACATTCAATGTAAAATGTAATTTTTCCTGAGCAAGAATAGAGAACATGAGTTGAGGAGCCTTTCAGTTACCTTTCTAGGTGTCCCCATTTATTGGACACCCAACTCCATATAGCCTTGGACAGGAACTGAAAAACTCTTTTTAATCACAAAGATATAACATGTCAATAAATGGATCAAAGCCCTTTTTCTATCTTTCGAATTGCTTTGATATAATTGCTGTCTCCTGTAGGGAACTAGAATAGTTTGTTGGGAGCTTTTGCCAGAGGAACAACCTTATGTATATTTGATGTGGTTGCTAAATGGTATTGTGCTTATCATTTGTGAATCACTGAAGCTTGCATCTGTTTCTTGTAGCTGGGTTTTGGGCCTAAAGGTTTATTTTAATGGCTCATTAAACTCCCACCTGGCTATTTTGTTGCTTACGCTAATCTATTTGAGAGTTCATTTGTAGATTTTCTAAGGCAGGTGAAAGCATATAGTCCTTTCCATGATCCACTTTAAGACACTGTGACTGTTACCCATTTAAAATATACAAAGGACTCATGGCAATAAGCAACAAGGTAGTGAAACGGTGGAATTCCTCTACATCTAGAACTAGTGAAATATAAGGATAACAAAAAGTCGTAGCTTCTTAGGAATGATGTGAAGTACGAAATGCAGCAATTATGAACTTTATTTTTTCAGTCTTGGAAAAAAAGGACTTAGAATGTTGTTTACTCATACAAAAATGTTAGCATTAAACTGTGGCATTATTGCAGGTATTATTCTTTAGGAATAATTACTTGTACTTTAATAATACCAAAAATAATACCATAGAATCATAGAATGGTTTGGGTTGGAAGGGACCTCTAAAGGTCATCTAGTCCAACTCCCCTGCAATGAGCAGGGACATCTTCAACTAGATCAGGTTGCTCAGAGCCCTGTCCAACCTGACCTTGAATGCTTCCAGAGATGGGGCATCTACAACCTCTCTGGGCAACCTGTTCCAGTGTTTCACCACCCTCATAGTAAAAAATTTCTACCATAAGCAGGTTTAAAATTTAGTTGTGCAAAATTCTGTAAAAGTATATTGTGTAATGATTCCATTCCTGAAGAGTTTATACCTACATAAACAAGACTGAAGGAGACTATAGAAGATAAAGGGTATACTAAATGCAAAAAAAAGTTTAAGGAAAAATACTCAATTAACTGCAAGGAAATTTTTAGGATATGTTTCATCTGCAAGTAAAGTCAGTTTTCTGATTCTTTTTCTGGCAAAAAAATCATTTCTTCAGCTCAGAGCAATTGCTTACAGGGTACTCACCAATGAACTGAAGCTGATTTTCATCTGTGGCTTTACATTGATTTTCCCTCATGTACAAGTTCTCATTCTGTTGCATTGCTTGCTAGAAAAATACTTACCCTGTCTCAGTAAGCATGATATGCAAACTATCCATCACATGTCAAACTGGCCACATATATATTTTTTTTTAAACTCAAAATTTAATCTTATTTCCAATCTGTTTAACCACTTACTTTCACCTTTTGTACTTCTACTTGGTCACAAGTAGTGTCTGGAAGACTGCACAGATGACTACTCAGCTTCCGTTGGTGAGCCATCCAGTCTTGACTTATCAGAAGTCCAAACTGGTGAAATCACCACATCGCAGCGGAAAAATAATGGCTGAGTTAGGAGTTACATCTAGCTTTCCTGCTCATTGCACTGGGTTAGGTTACATCTCATCTAAAAATACTAGTTTTCAACTAACTGTGAATGGCCAGTAAACATAAAGGAAGACATGTAGTAATGTACGTAGCACCAGCAGTGCACTTGGTACTTAAGCAGTATGATGGATCCCCAAAGTGAAGTTTTTAAAA